GCAACCGAAAATTTAGAAGAGAGAAGAAGAATAGAAAGCAAGAGAACGCCGAAGAGAATTCGCACAGAGACCACGTGCTCGATATAAAATCATGTCAGATACGCTGGGCGAAGGAGGAGCCGACGGAAACGTGCCGAATCCGGCAGAAATAAGTGTATTCAGCGTGGGGAAATCACTTAAGATAGAACCATTCAAGATCCCAGAAAACCCCTAGGAAATTGGGCGAGCGTGGAAAGAGTGGATGGAGGACCTCGAAGAAGAAACATTGCATTTTGAGATTACAGAAACAAGGGACTGCGCGAGTGCCCGGAAGATTTATGGCGGCAAAGAAATCAAAAAATTTGCACACAACTTACCAGATACAGCGCTGGTGGACGGGGATGACGATTACAGAAAGCTGTAGAGGAAACTTATTTCCTGTCGAAAAAAAACAAGCATCGTGCGAGATTAACGTTTAGCAAGACCAACCGAAGGAGAGAGTGTTATCGCATACGCGGCGCGACTACGCGAAAAATCAAAGGATTGCGAGTTTGAGGAGCAAACAGAAGACAGGATACTGGAACATTTTATACAGACTATCAAGGACAACGAACTCGTGAAAAGACACATTCAGAAGAAATGGGTACTAGATCGATTCCTCGAGAAAGAAAGCCAAAGAGAAGACATCGATCAACAAGTCAAAGACATGAAAGGATATTTCGGGATATCGAAGGTAGAGCATCAATCAAAAGACCTTCCGCTGGGATGGAAGAATAAAATCGAGGATACCACTGTGACTTCCCAGAAAACAAGAACACAAATAAGAGAAAGAGGAAAGCAAGAGTTGTGGTTACTGTGGAAAAACAGGAACACATCCCCCGGGCTGAAACTGCCCAGCATACGGAAAACAGTGTTGAAAGTGTGGCAACTGCAATCATTATAGATCATGTTGCAAGGTCGGAGCTCCACATCAAGATGGATTTAAGGGGACTGAGAGAGGGCGAATCAAGGAGATAAGCAGTGACTCAGATAATGGTTACATTTATTTTCAGGAGACAGCACAACAGCTACCTCGAGTGAAGAGGATAAGGTCAGGTCCTAATCAAGACACCGTACTAATCCGCATAGGAGACATTGATGCCCAGTTCAAGGCCCTCAAGCATAGATCACCTGAGATTAAAGAACTAGATCCTTGCAGAGACACACTAAAGATTCTTCAGTCCAATCTAACAGTCAAAGGTGAATTCACTACAACATTGCGGGACATGAACCGCATCACACAAAGCAATTTCTTTGTAATCCAATCGACTCTCCTTGAAAGGATCACGATAAGATTATTCCTGTGATAAGAATTGGTGGTTCTTAATTGGAGAAAATACGTAAGGATGAATTAAGAGCGAGCAATTAATTTAGGACCAGAAAACTGCGTAGCTTTGTGTTGAAAATTCTGAAAATTGTGCGATTTCAGAAACAAAAAAAATTTTAACGCCCTTATAAAGGGTCCCGACGTCCCAAAGTCTCAGTTAGAGTCAGTCATAGATCCCATCACGTTGGAACTGAACTATCGTCAACTAAAAAACTAATTTCGTGACTTTAAAGAGCTACATGCACTGAAAAACTATCTCTAGACCTCGCGGCTAACCTCGAGGGGAACTCCCAGCCGAAGTGAAACTGCATACGTAATGATGTTATAGATGCAATGCCGTGCCGTACAAAAGGATTTTTACCATATTGGCTCCTTAGAAAACACTGTTAGACAGGAAATGACCCGCCATGTTATAAACAGAGAAAAATTCATGGGCGCACGTAGGTATGGAATTTCTCTTCGAGCGTTCAACTCGATAGCTCACGAGTAAACGCAACGAAAGAGTGATGTCGAGAGAAATTCCATATCTACAAGCAACCATGTAATATTTTGTTTATCATATAAACACAATAGCCCTTCAATGACAAGAAAAGTCGACGAATGAAAATAAAAAGCCCGACAACCCCCGTTTGCGCCAAGGCTCAAGATGAGAAAATGAGTTGAATCACTACAAATTTAACAATGGGCGTAATTTTCAATATACAAAATTCTCAGTTATTGACTCAGTCCTTACCAAAAGAAGATGTCTTTCAGGGACACAGCCAAAATCGGCCTGTGGCAAATCTTCCAGTTGTCGATTTTCGTTCTCGGCCGCGAGAAATGCCATTATCAAAGTCGCTGAATTCGTAACTTCCGGTATTTTTCTTCGTATTTTGGTTTTTCTACCGCTTCAACGAAACTTTGAAAGTCAATGTCTGTAAGCGATACGGATTTTTTAGTGTTTAAGCAGCCATAATCCGAGAAAATTCTGACAAACAACCACGGGTTGAGAATGGTGAGGGCTTCGCCTTTCATTCATCAACCTGACCGAGTGGCGCGAAAGGCGAGTGACGTGTTAGCAGCTGATTGGCTATATCAAAGACACGTGAAAAACATCGTATTTTTTTTTTACGTGTATTGTTTGGGCTTTTCTCAGGGCTGGAAATCCTTGTATAACTCTGCAGTCTATATGATTAAACACATTATTTAATAGTTATTTTTAAATAAGAATATTGACTGTTCATTTCCATTTCTATCAGACTGCCAAGGCCACGGTAATGATGTCCATTGGTCTGATACAGGTCATCTTGGTCTTATGTTTCATAAAACCATGCGAGAGTGACGTTTGCAGCCAAAAAATTTGTCAATGTACCAAGTTCGGTAGAAGTCGGGTAAAAGTAAAATGTCAAGTTCACGGAAACGTTCCGACTGGAATCCCAAGCAATACAGTGGAACTGTAAGTAATAAAAAAACTCATCCTTCGTTCTTCAAGGCCTGTTATCTTCTGCCTCAATACGAAGTTCTAATTTTTCTTCATTTTAAATTTTTAAAATTTACTTCTCTTAATGTCTTTCGCCCATTTCTTTTATTGCAAAGTTGTTTCTCCTTCTCGGCGTTAATTCATCTTCCGTCATCTTCAGGTATTTCGAGTAACAGGAGCGATGCTTTTGATGTATAGTTTAATGCGGATAATATGAGTCGCGCGTACTTACTGCTGTAATTGACTCACTGTCTTTAGAATTCAAATTTGTTGTCATTATCATACTTATTAACAGTAGACTACGAGCAGTTCATCCTTATCGGTGAGGTCCGTACATGTGGCGAGTCAAACCCTAACCCTAAGCGACCTAACCCTTAGAAAAAAATGGCGCCAGCCTGCCCACGTCGCGCCGTGTTTTGAGTCTCACTCGATCGCAGAGCTCCGCTCGGCATGAAAACGTAATATGACTTCTTTTTTCTTGTTTCACTGTCTTTTCTCTACCCGCGCAACGGACTACACCGAAAGCAGAGACTGCTCGTAGTCTATGCTACTAATTAAAACTTTTACCCCAGGGATCTTTCAAGTAGTTCCTTGAGCTCGATTACAGAAGACGTCTTTAGGAACCTGACTGTTTTAGAGAAATTGTAAGTAGTAAATGGAAAAAAAAACCGGGGAATTCTCAGAAAATGTAAAAAGCATGTGTTTCGTACTGAAAGCAGTCAAAGTGGCAAAGTGTGATTGTATCTGTCTGTATGTAAGGATAATTTGATGGCAGTCAAAAAAGTTTGAGAACGGTCATGGGATATCTTCGATTCAGCTATCTGATTTCAAGTTATTTATAAATGCTCTTGGACGGTTCAATATTATCTTTACCACCTATGAGCTGATAGAATTCGACTGTCTTATAATTATATAATAATAGCGTTTTCCTAATGATAAATAAAACAGGAAAGCGCGAGTAATTATGTGAAATAGGAACATTTTACTTCGGGGAAATTTTATGCCTAATCTAGAAAACATTAATTCATTTCTTCTTTTCATGAACTCTTTCTCTTTTACCAGGGACTTGTCAAATAATTTACTGCGACAAATTCCTCTAAACACTTTCCGAAATATGAAGGAACTGGAGATAATGTAAGGGAATTCATAAATTCCTAATGATTTAAATCAAACAATAAGTTTCCATCGCGTTTTAAAAATTGTTTTTGAGTGGAAAAGCATTTCCCATCAATATTTTCTGTTTCCATCGTGCTTGGCTGGTGAAAATTATTATCCCTGTAGAGTTTAAAGTGACTCTTTTAAATTAATTGATCAAAATTAACTGTTTTGATCATTATTCTGTAGAAACATAGTAATGTAAATTGTTTCCAGGGAATCAGTCTGCCTCCAATTCACGACGTCTGCTACTATTTTCTTCCCAGAAATCTTTACAAGAACTCAATTTCAGGAGGCTTTCACCTTCCGGAAGGCGTTTCTTCTTTGTGAGTTTTGGTTGATGAAATGTTTAACAAATCTGTATGTCACAGAATCAGAGCACATTTAGATTTATTGCCAAAATGTCGCTGTAAGCTTATGCATTCCAAACTTTCTGATAAACAAAATGATGATAAATTGGTTATATTCAGTTTTAAGAGATCCGTATTTAGATTTATGGATGCATGTAACAAACGTAGCCAGAAATGAGGCTGAGTGAATAATGGGGGCCCACTGTCTAACACCTACAAGCTGATATCGTAAGAGAGGTTATTACTCATCGTGGTGCTAAGCAATGATAAACTGTTAAATCGTTTGTCTCACAATGTAGTAACTTGAGATGTACATCGCGACCTTTAGACTGCCTAATTCTAGTCTTCATCAGGCAATGGGGTCCACTGCTCACGCGTTACCAATTGTATCATGGCGATCTAATGTGATTGGTGGATTTCAACTCCTTTTGTTCCGGGAGTCTAATGTGGATGGCTTCCTTGATTCTTCTGGTGTACCAGTGTGAGTCTCGATAAAAAAACTTTACTTCGTTCCAAAGCGAGTGGTGGCATAGGTACGAGCTGAACGTATACCCTTTCGTGTTCTTTCATCCTCTCTTGCATAGGTCTTCCCGTTTCACCGTAGAAGTCATGGGCTCAAATCCCGTTCGAGCCTAAATCTTTTTCAGGCCTTATTTTCACTACTACCTCACTCACTTTTATTTAGTGTTCGTAACTGCGAAGATCGCTTCCATATTTGTTCTTCAAATGCAGTTCACATATATGATTTTCATATATTTACAGTGAAGTAAAGATTATTGATCGAGACTCACACTGGTACACCAGAATAATCAAGGAAGCTATCCATATAAGACTTCACCCTGATAACATCAACAGGGATAACGGAATCGAAATTCCTGCAGCGTGGATACCAACAATCAAGAAACACAACGGGAGACCGGCACGGCAGCAGACCGCCGAGGGAACAACTCACTGAAACAATAGGGATCGAAACCCACCAATCATATTAGATCGCCGTAATACAAATGAAAAAGCGTAAGTAGTCGACCTCATCGCCCGATGAGGACTAGCAGTGAGCAGTCGAAAAGTCGCGATCTACATCTTAAGTGACTACATCGTGAGACAAACGATTCAACATTATAATCATTACTTATAAGTTGATGTTAAATGTTCCATTTATGTAGGAAAATCAGTGACAACTTACTATCAATTGCTGATGCGAAGGTCATTCTTAATGGATTGACGCGGCTTAAGAAACTGTAAGTGTCATCTTTTAAGACGATTTAAAAGTCACACAAACATAACTGAATGCTTTGAGAATATAATCGTTGTAGATATTATGTTATTATTCCCCCTCCAATAGATCAAAGTCTTTTGTAACGCCTTACAACATCGCTCATCATAGCTTATTAAAAAAATATGTATATATTCTTAACACCATATCGGCCTAGATGCATTCCTCAGATAGTTGCTACTCATTTCAAATGGTTTACTTCAACAGAGACCTTGATAGAAATCCACTTGGACCTTCCTTGCCATCAGACATCTTCGCAGGGTTTGAAAATATGATATATCTGTGAGTTCAGT